GATTGAAGTCTAATAAAATTATATTCATTGTTAAATATAATTAAAATATTCTATCTACATACAAATATTTGGCAGGTTTTCATTGAATTTATGAAGGAGAATTTTGACATTTACATCGCAAACAAAAGTATAGTTTTTTTTTTCAATTAAGTTCTACATTTAATTGATGATTATTCACGATATATTTCCAATATATCAAAGACTGTTTGTGCAAACAAATAAATAGGAATAATGTAACTACATTGATAGTAGAAAATTGACATTATATTCTTAGAAAAAGCAGATTTACTCAGGAGTATTCCTAAGGATGTTTATATGTTTAATTTAATACAAAGAAATTCGATCTAGTGTTGTGAGGAATATTGATAGATCTGTTAACGTCAAAAAAACTGTATCATTATTTATTTTTTATAGTTTGAAGAATATTATTCAAATATTCCAATATTGCAAGCAAGGAAACACAATCATCATTGACTCTGTATTCTAATGATTCAATAAATCAAGTTAAGAAAATGCTGGATATGAATATCTTAAGCAATTCTCATCTTTCTGTCTTCTATATTAGATTGAAACATATTAAAGCCAAGAATATGTGCTTGGAAACACGTTAGAGAATCAATCCAGTTATAAATTATTCTAATTTAATACATTCGAGAGGATGAGATCCATCAGTGAGTCTCGCTATATTTTAACAGCAAACTCAATAGAAAAAAATTTTTTTTTCCATTTTTTTCTTAGTAAGAGGTCACACATAATGTGTTATTTGTTCTGCCTCTGCTATTATTTAATCATTTATTACATAGTGCGATGTTTCTTATTGAAACAATCAAGAAAAAAAAAATTTTCTCAATCGTAATATAAACCAACACAGCATCTTCGGACACCGCGAGCAGATCCTTCATCTTCTGTGAGCTTGTGATTAGGGAGCTTGCACTTCGATTGATCTTTTGATTTTTGTCTCGGACTCGATTTTAGCTTCTTCAATGGCATGTCAGACAGTAAAGATCGGGAAAAGTTTCGTGAAACTGTAGAATGATCACTTTGCTTCTGGCGTAGTTTTCCTTGTGTATCATATAGCTATTGACTAGTGCCGTCCCAAAAACCAGTTCAAACGTCACCTTTTGGCACCACTTTATTGACCGGCTGAGAGGCACGTGTAATATGCTGATAGTTGATCAGATAAATTACTACCTTGTCTTCCTTTATTGTAATTTCGTATTCCCAATGTTCATCACAGTTGCTAAATTCGGTGGTCTTATGGATATCATCATGACATCTTTTTTTTCTTTCCACATAGTCAGTTTTATACGGTCTCTATTTTGAAGTCAGTAAACTTCACTGCGTGTAAGGTTTTTTTAAAGAACTTTGTTTTCCAATCTGGCACGATTACTTCTTTTAGTGTTCCAATAAGGTACGTATCATGTTCCAACAAATGTTTCGCAAGAGAAATACAGGTAAAGAAGTTGCCAGCTACTATGGTTCGATAACATCCTTCAAGACCATCCAAGAAATTCATTATTACTGCTTGAACATGCCCAAGAGCAACTGTTGGATCTTGCTCACCAATATAGATTACATAATTCCAGATGTATCTACTGGTAGCCGCTAACATATACATCTTTACGCCGTATTTGTCTGCTTTTCTAAGAATATATTGTTTATATTAGATAAAAACGACCATTAATTTATAAATAAAACGTTAATAAGTAGAATAAGCCCGTAAAATTTTTCTTTTGTAATAAATATGTGAGAAATCTTTTTTTTGAAATGTTGAATTGAATGAAGAAAATTCATATGAATCAAATTGACTTAAAATTCTTCATTATAAATTAAATTTTATTTGTTTATTTATCATTTAAATTATCTAGTCGTTTAATATCATCAACATCATTGCCAGAAGATGGTAACTATTTTTTTAATAGTTACCGAAATATCACAATTAATTAAAATAAAGAGAAAAGAAATAAAAAAAGAGAATTATTTAATATATTCATATTTTATTTTATTTTCATATACAAGATTTAACACATGTATTACAAAAGAAAAATTTTAGCTGCTTATTCTACTTTTTAATATATTGTTTGAACAAAAGTCTGTCGCACCATGGTACCATAGTTTTGTCGACAGTAATAACCGAGCCTGGGATATATAATGACAAAAATCTCTCTTTCAGTATATCTAAGAGTGGTTTCAACTTGAACAATCTGTCTTGCTTCGAAAGTTTATTATTGTTGTTCGAAAATTGCCAAAATTTCAGGAGTAATTCAAACTTCTCTTTCTCGACATGGCATTTCGAATAATCTCTGATCCATACAACTGAATGTTGCTCCAGTAGTATTTCAGTTTGAACATTTGTACCAGCCCCATCTCGATAATGATTCCAGAGAACTTGAACCAGAGTTGGAACCGGTCCGGCAATCCGGCTCCGGTCCGGCCGGACCGGATCGGACCGGACAAAAAGTTAAACCGGGCCGGACAGAACCGGATTTTTGCCAGTTCATCATTACAAAATTGTTATTTGCACCCAAGAATATTCTCTATTGAAAACGGTGTTTTTTTGTGAAATTTTCAAGTTAGAAGAATGCGTTTGCGAAAGACTTAATAGATATCTTGTCTTCAACTTGACTATAAATGGTTGATTGTTCTCTTTGTAGCTCTATCGATTTCTTTCTCGCGTATCGCTCAATTTAACCTAGATCAAATGATTTATTTTCTTGTTTTACTTAGGCAGCTGTCTGAATCAAGAAAAATAAATATTTACAATTTTGTGTCAGATTTCTTATAAACTTGCTTTTTTTCCTTTTTTTGAAATTAAGATGAAAAAACAGATTTGATCTGAATAGCTAATTTATATCAATATCGAACTCGAAAGGTTGACGCACCTTGCTATGAAATATGATGGAAAGAGTTTCACTCGCAAGTTTTAGTTTCTAGTTCGGATTAGGGGTGACAATTTCTTGTTAATTTATTTGAAATTTAAATTTATTTGAAATGTAAATTTTAAAAATGTGAATTTATTTCAACTTCAAATTTTGTAAATTTAAATTTACTTTAAATTTAAATTGGATTTACATGAATTTTAAATTCAGTTTCAATCAATACAAATCCAATTTAAACGGAATAAAATTCAATTTAAATTCATTTAATTAGATTTAAATCCTATATGAATTAATGTGAATGGATTGAAATTCAATTAAATGAATTTAAATTGAATTCTATTTGGTTTAAATTGAATTAATATTGATTTAAACTGGATTTAAATAAATTTTAAAAAATTTAAATTTATGTAAATACAATTTAGATTTAAAATAAATTTAAATTTAAATTTACAAAATTTATTTTTGGATTTATCAAACTTTCGTAAATATAAAGTGATCACTCCTAGTTTGGATGTCTACACGTAAATATTCAATTCCCCTTCGCCACCATTTTATGCGAACAGATACTTTCATAGTCGGTTATTTTCGCCGGATTTTTGCCAGTTTGGCTATAAAGTTCATCCGACCGATTGCCGGCCAGACCGGACCGGACAGAAAAAAACTGTCCGGTTCCAACTCTGACTTGAACATCTCTCTTCATCAGTGGTCGATTTCTATCGACAAAATTTTGACCATCTGGTAATTTCATGGACTTGCAAGTATTGCTCTGCATATCGATTTGTTTCACGCACTATAAGACCAATAATTTTGCCCATGATGAAATGCCGATAGCAATCAATAGGATCAATTGTATTATCTTTTGAAACAGAAGTTACTTCTTCAATAAGACCATAATCCTCCAGGAATTCTGCATCTGATTCTATTTCATTCCAGAATTGTGAATCTACTTCATTATCATTGCTTTATTCGCGTGAACTATCAGATTCAAAGTGTATTCTATCACAATCATCATCCAAAGAGCTTGATTTGCTGAGTGAGCTAGCACTGTCTTCTGTATCGGTTTCTTCAAACGACATGTGAACTATTCCAAGATTTCGGTCGTCTTTATGTACAAAAGGACAGAGAGACAAGCATAAGGCAGAAAAACCTAGAAATTGCCTTCTTTTTCTCTCACGTGCTTCATATAACATGCAAAAGAACGAAAAAGTAACTTAAGTGATTTTTCGTTGATTACAAAAAATGATTCATTATGTGGGGTGCTACAAAAAAGAGAACGATAAATAATCGGTAGAAGATAATGAGAAGGTCATTAAGGGCATTTATTAGAAGTTAACAGTCCACGAAAATGAACGTCTCGAAAAATTTTTTTAAGAAAACTGAATCGTGCTGAATGTACTAAACTAAAAATTAACCTCTTTACAATTGAATACAAAAACTTTTTCATTAGTATTTAATTTTCCAACTGAAAGTGATAGAGTTTTGTAATACATAATTTCTAATTAAGATTTATTTTAGTGCTTCGTAATTCTTTAATGTCAAGTCGAGGATAGAAAAACAGGAAATTCTAGTGCATTTAGTTGATAAGGACTTTTTGTACTGTTATGCGTGTTTTGAAAAGATTGAAAATAGCCTCAAAAAATTTTATTAGATAATGAAAATCGAAAATTTTATCATCAATATTTTGTATCAATACATACAATAATATTACTCTAATATATCACATATAGACGGAGGATTTTTTTTTGCTATTTGGTCTACAGTCGTTTTTTTTCTGTGTTAATGGTCAATAATTTTGAGAAATATAGAAATGATTTTACAGCAGCATATAGCATTATTTTAGAATTTAACAAAAGGAAATGGAAATTTCTTTTTTTTTAATTTTATTTATTAAAGAAATTCTTACAATATTCGATTATTAGAACTACAAATGAATCATGATTTATTATAAAATATCTTGAATAAAATAAAAATTATACATGAATGCAAAAAATACTAATGAGATGCACTATGAAGTCAAATGATTAAAATATAAAATCGAATAGTTTTAGAAACAATAAAAGTTTAAGAGAAGAGCGATGTCCGATCATCAGAAATAATAAATTGATATATTGTTAATTTTTTTTATCCTGGATAATATACTTCTGCAGTATTTAAAGTACCACTACTACTAAAACCGCCAGTCGCTAACACTCTTCCATTGGTCAATACAGATGCTGCGTAATCAATCCGTGCACTATTCATGTTAGCAGTGACTGTCCAAGTTCCTGTTAATGGATCATATAACTCAGCACTGTTTGAAGCACCACCACCTAGACCAAGGCCACCACTAACCAACACCTTTCCATTTGTTAATAAGAATGCTATGTGATTATACCGTGGATTATTCATGTTAGAAGTGATTGTCCAAGTTCCTGTTAATGGATCATATAATTCAGCACTATTTAGAGCTGCACTAGTACCGTATCCACCAGTAACCAGTACCTTTCCATTTGCTAATACGGTTGCTGTGTGATAATGTCGTGCATTAGTCATGTTAGCAGTGATTGTCCAAGCAAATGTTGATGGATTATATAATTCAGCAGTATTTAAGGAACTACTAGTACCGAATCCACCAGTAACCAACACCTTTCCATTGGCTAATACGGATGCTGTATGATAATATCGTGGATTTTTCATGTTAGCAGTGATTGTCCAAGTACCTGTTGATGGATCATATAATTCAGCACTATTTATACTATTACTAGGGCGATAGCCACCAGTAACTAACACATTTCCATTTGTCAATACGGACGCTACATGACAACGTCGTGCATTATTCATGTTACCAGTGATTGTCCAAGTTCCTGTTGTTGGATGATATAACTCAGCACTATTTAGAACACCACTATAACCAGTACCACCACCAGCAACCAACACGTTTCCACTTGTTAATACAGATGCTGTGTGAGAATGTCGTGCATTATTCATGTTACTAGTGGGCGCCCGACTTCCACCTACAGAATCATATAACTCAGCATTATTTAGATCATAACTCCAATAGTCGTCGTATCCGCCAGCGATCAAAACGTATCCATTTTGTAATACGGAGGATGTGTGAGCATATCGTGATTGAAGCATACTGGCGGTATAATACCATCCTAAAAGAAGCATTTGACCATATTCAAATTAAAAAACGACATGTCATCGAATACTCAAGATTATCTCTTCGTAGGCAGACTCTTTAAAGATATTATAAAATGAAAATCATTTCTTACTTATAATATAAAACCTTTTAACGTTCTGTAAACTGAGAACAAATTTCAAGTTTATTGCATGAAATCCTTCAAATTATCCTTGTGACGAAAAATAACAATAGATTAGGCACAAGTATAACGATTTACTAGTGACACATTCTTCTATCTCGTATTTTCATAATAAGATTTCAAAAGTAAAATCGAAAATCTTTTCAAATTGAAGCGACTTAAATCGAGTCCTTCTTGTCCTTCATTAAATGTAGGGAATCACCTGTCAATCTTTTTATAAAAATAGACTCCTACGAAATACACAATTGAGAAAATGGAAGATGACAAGGAAATCTGAGAAGAGTCAAACGAAAAAACATTTGATAAGTAACTTACCTGCTGTTCCTCGTTTATTCACCGGCACATTCTTGTTTAACTTCTAAAGAGATTTACTAATTTGTAATACAAGTTTATAGAAATTGTACTTACTATTAATGTTGGTAATGTATATACATTTGTAAAGATGATAAAAGTAATCAATTTGGCAAAAACAGTGGCGATCATCGTTTCTATCAGATTGTTTTTATAATGAAGATTAACGTTTGATTTGCATGCATATATACGCTGTTCTAGTCATGCATCATTGGACTCAATAAAAATCCATCTATCGTTTTAGAAAGTAGATGATGACGCATAAAGGTATGCTACCTATAGGAGTATATATGGGAAGAAAAATTTCTTCTTAATGTGACCTTGCAAATGTATGTCACAAAAATGTGCAATTAAACTGAAATTAAGAGAGAAATCATGACTTTTATTATGAATAAGCAAAATATTACTAATGTTAAAATGTAATTACACAAGATAGAAGGATGATTCTTTTGTTTATGTATGTATTTCAACGTTACAGTAATATTATGCGCCCACATATTGAATGCAAATATCATAATGAAAATCACATGTTATCGCGATACAATCATAAAAAAAAAATAATAGGATGACTTATTATCTTATTTTCAAAAGAGACTCGAACTTTTTTATATCTAAAGAAATATAATATCAATATTGTTATGATGTTATAAATTTCACAAAAAAAAAAATAAATAACCAGAATAAAATATCATATTTTGGAAGTATTAAAGTTTATTATCATTAAATTTCTTCATAAATTTTAATTTTTTTTAATTGAAATAAAATAAGAATCACCAATATTTTATTTTTCTTTTCCCAATAATAAAAAAAGTCAAGGACATATTACTCAATCCTTTTTTTCTTGCTTCTCAGTTTTTTTTTTCGTTTTCTTTAGTACATATAACTTCAAAAAAAAATAACAGAAAGAAAAACAACCTTGTGTGTTGATATCATTGATGCATCTGGCAAAGCGTATTACATAAATATTCTCTTTTTTTTCATGTTTTCATTTGTTTTTGTATAAATATACGAGCACTATATTTCTTAATGATATGTTTTTTTTGACCGATAACTAATTTTATTTTCAAGGTTTTTTGATTCATATATATATTTTTTTTTTCGTTAGTTTTTTTATGAGAAAAAATTAGATAATAAATGGCAAAAAAGGACTTTAGATGAATCTTTCTCTGGAATAAAAATTAATTTAAATCATTCATAGAATTTAATTAAAAGTAAAGAATGGGGGCGCATAATGTCCATTTTTGGACCATCGTTAATTTTGGTTAGTTCATGGTTTACCAGATGCAAAACTTTGCGAGGAATCGTTTGGTGATAAAATAAAGCTGTTTTGAAAGAGTTTTCAGGGACTTTTGCCTCAAATACTGCTATTCACTTTTTTACCGTAAATACATGATTCACACACAAAAGGATCAAACATGTATGTTTTAAAATAAATCGCCGTTCCACGACAACGCTGTTTCTGTCTTGGCGGGACTTCATCAGGTGGTAACTTAATATTATA